GGGTTAAAGGGGTGGGGGATCTCATTAGCGGGCCAGGCGGAAATCACCCATAGGCCATATGTGGCCCACGGACTGTCAGTTGCTCATCTGTGGTCAAAACATCAATGCTGATTTCCAGTAAGAAATCTACTGTTCATTTATCATTTACAGAGTATGCAACATATATTTTTTTAGAGAGAAAATAGAGATTTGTGTTTTGGAAAGTTTATGAAGCATTGTGCAGATGGGGTTTCTTTGCTGTATAGCAATAGATGTTGAAATGACTGAACACCCAGCTGTAACGTGCATACAAATATGGTGTGCCTTGATGCATTAAGTGGAAAAGGGGAAAAAAATGTTCCAGAAATTGTTCCAGTTGTTGCTTAACCCCAGATCTTCAATGCAGTCATGTGCAAGAGTAAAGATACTCTATCATATGAGCATTTTCCAATTTAGATGTTTTTTTTTTTTGTTTCTTTTAGGATGCTCACAAATAGGTTTGTGTTTAAAATACAACACAATTCTTTCAGAAATCAAGAAGTTAGTGAGTCAGAGGATCATATAGTAGCATACAGAGAACTTTTCTTGGAGCAAGTCCAATGCACAATGCCTTGTTCTAACTCACATAGCAGCCAACAGTGTGCAGCATACAATGGCCTAACTAGGTAATATCTAGAGTTTGAACAATGTCAAATGGGTCAGTAATTGCTTTGATAACAAGCCAGGTGCTATTGACAGACTTTCTCAGAGGAAAATGTCTCACTTGTCCAATAAGAAACTGCCTTTCTTTTGCAATACTTGGGTGTGCAAAGTGAGCAGTTCTTGTTTAGAATAGATGGTGTGAATTTTGTGTTTGAATGGATTTTACTGTGCAGTTCACAAACTGAAAACTGGGACATGTTGCCTTTTTAGAAATGGTACAATCACTCACAAATAAATAAATATAAACAAAAAAAATCAGATAAACACCCACATGCAAGTGCGTGCACTGAAAGGTCTTGTGATTGTATTGCAAGAGTATCAGATCATATGGAAAATGGAGTGGGCAGCATACTGCAGTACCCCTCAGGCCTGGACATTGACAATGTAGCACAGAACAGATCCATACAGGCATTGCATTTTTAATGGCCAAGTGTACTCGATCCGAAGCCGAGCATCACGTGGTTGTTCAGCATTCATTTTTGTACATGCCTTTCATACATGTTGTCCACAAAACTGTTGAGGTTAAAGCTCCACAAAACTTAGCAAAAATGTTAGACACATCCCTCTGTGCACGTCTGTTTTAGCTCCATGAGTTTTTGGCCATTTGACTATCTTTCTAAAGGAACATAGCATGAACACATCTGCTAATCAAATGATTTAAGGGTCCAGTACACTCAATCCAAAGCAGAAAAATCGTTGTGCAATCACTTGGTTGTTTCACACACTCATTTTGTAGTGTTTGGCATACTCCTTAACACACAAAATCTGTACTCTATCTATCCATGAGTTTTGGGTTGTTTGACTATCTTTATACGTGTTGGATCTTGGAAGTGAGTATTGAAAGAAAATGCAGTGTCCAACCACTTTCAGCATTAACAAACATGCCCACGAACATCTGATCAACCACACAATGATTTTTATTGTAGAGGGAAGTGAAAAATTATCCTAGCGGGTTGCGACAAGAAGGGACAATAACAACTGCTCCACTCTTGATGTCATTACTTATGTCTGCTGGAGCCCGTTCTAGACATACCATATTCTTGTAAATTAAATCACCAATAACAACGTCTATGCATAGGCATACACCTGCTTACCAATTGGACCAATTATTTTGGGTGATTGACTTTTTTAATAAGTTCTAAAGATCTATAAAAATACATTTGAGCTGTAATTGATGCACTCATTGTGAGAAGAAAAAAATGGGAGCTTATTTTTTTGTTAAATACATGCTTACAAAGCGGCATGGTGGTAGTGCTGTTGCTTCTCAGTGAGAAGGTTGCAGGATTGCATTCCAGCCTGGGACCTTTTTAGGTGGTTTGCATGATCTCTCCGTGCACGGCTGGGTTTTTTTCTGGTTTCCTCCCACAGACCAAAAACATGTATGTTAAGGCGATTGGTTACTTTAAATTGTCCCTAGGAGCAAATGAGAGTGTACATGTTTTTTTTTTTCTCATTTGTCTGTATGTGGCCCTTTGATGGACTCTGTTTAGTGTCTGTCCTGCCTCTTGCACAGTGACTGCTGGACATAGGCACCAGTGACTCCCAGAAAGAAAATGTAGTTGGTGAAAATGGATGGATGCTTGTTGACGATCAAAACCATTATTGTTAACGTTATATCTTTGTGTGCAATTGGTGTTCAGTCTCTAAAAGACATCTTACCTGTTGTCCAGGGTCAGCGAGAACAAGTGTCTGTCCTGTTTTTGGTTAAAAAAAATCTCAATTTTGAGAAATTAATTATGGCAAGATAGCACTGGAGATGTCTTCTAGTTAAGAGTGTCTCCAGATTTTCCCCGTTTCTTTAACCATCTGCTGAAACCCTCACAAATGCACACACACTTTGGAAATGGTACAGTACTTTGCACCAGCTATTCTGAAGAAACAGGTTTTTTTTTTAGATGAAATGAAGATCACCCCATGTAATTTCTGTAGTTGTGTAAAATGGCATTTGGACAGGAAGTTGCCATACAAATTGAGAAAATTGCAGCAGAGTTAGATAAGCACAAGATCATCTGCTATCAGGTAGACAAACAGGCGATGGTATCGGAAAGTGGAGCCTCTGCTTGGTAATTCAGATCCACAGAGCTGCAGTGAGAAAAGCCTGTTACCGCAGATGAACACTGCGTGCTAATTTTAACAATATGCTATTTTGGCAGCTTTGACTTGAGCAATTTTGAAAACCAGGTGGGTGTCAATCTGATTGCAAATGTGGGAAATCACAGCCAAATTTACATTAGGGAAGCAAAACATCAGTCAAAAGATTTGTGTGTTTCTGTGTCTGTGTGAAGGCTGAATGTCTGTATGTGCGTGTGCTAGAGACACATTCAACAAACTTCATTTTACCAGTTTTTCCACATGACTGCATTATTCTTGCTTTGAGATAAAAAAGAGCATTAACAAAGCATGCACCAAACTTAAAATACGTCTAAACTTCATTAAGGGTTTGTCAGAATAAATTAGCAAATTAAACTAAACCATGAAAAGAATAAATTACCCATTTTACAATGTGACTGTCATATTTTCAATGGTAGAACTTTTATGCAATGTTTTTGCTAAGAAAAGAACAATGCAGTACTAGGAAAATAAAATCACCTCATTTCAGTTATAGGTTTTTATACAGGACATAATTAGCTGAATCTTGTTTTCATCAGGTACTAAAATTCTTTAAATCCAACCTCAAGTGCACAAAAAACATACCTAACTCCATCATGTCATTATTTATAAAAAAAAATACAAAATGGGGAATGTGTGTTTAAAAAAAATAGGATTTACAAAGGAAAGTAGTGCAAACACAGCAGGTTGTGACATGAAGGGGCAGACTCAAAGCTTCAAACAAAATAACACATTTTTTCTCATGCAATTATAACAATGAGAACCGATTTCAGCAGTTTGGATGTGGAGGCCTTAATTGTTTACCAGCAAGTGAACACCACTTTGAATGCTGGAAATTTAGCAGTTCTCTGGTCTGCCTGATGCACATCACCATGTGGTGATCACCAATCACAAAAAAAATCAGCACAGACACCTGAAATGAACTGTCAGGCCCAATGGTGTAGGATTGGTTTATGTTTATATTAGAGCCACAGTAGCCTGGCACCTTGCTTTCATTGAGTCAGCTATGAACATCTTGCTAACCAAAGTGTTCTGTAGTCTAATGCAAGGTTAGCTGGCATTAAAGGCTAGGCTGAAACTCTGTCACATAACAGGAAAATGACCACAACCACAGCAGCAAATCTACAACGGAATAACTGAAAACGAAAAGACGCAAGGTGTTGCCTTGGCCGAGGAAAAGTTCGGACCTCACCCTGATTAAAATGCAGTCGATAACATTAGAAGAGCACAGTATAGAAACAAACACCTACAAATGTTGATGAACTCAATCAACCATGTAAAAAAAGAGTGGGCTAAAATTTCTTTCTCATCAATGCAAGACAGAAAACAGTTATTTCACGTTATTACTGCAAAAAAAAAAAAAGTTTTACGAACTATTAAATTTGACACACTTCTTTTTCAGACAGTTTCCGTTTTGGCCTTGAAGAATGGAATCTGTTGTGTTTTTGAATTACTTGAACCTAAATTACACTTTTTTATAAAATGCTAAAAATAAGATATATGTTTTGTTGCTTGTTTTGTTAATATCCAGATGCAAACCCCTATATTTGAAATAGACTAGACTTTCTCTGTCCTAAAATCCAAGATAACTTTATGGTGTTTTAAATGTGGAAATGGCATGGTTAATAACAAGTGTTTCTGTGTATTATGTAAGTACCATATAGTCTTATTAAGTGTTTATAGCATTTTTTTTATTATTTTTTACAGTACTATACTGGACAGTACCCTCAAGACGAAACACAAAAAGAAGTAAGCTAAGCTCATTTTATTGGTGCATTTACTCAGAAAATATATATTTTTTTTCTGCCATGCAAAATACAGTGAAAGTATATGGCATGTGGTGTTAAGTAGCATGCATGTATAAATATATATATGTTTAAACATATATATGTATGAGTGTTTCTGTGTTTAACTCAGGAGGAATGTAAAGGGGACTGTTCCCAGGGGTCGCCAGGGGTACCGGGCATGTCTGGTGCCAAGGGGGAAAAAGGAGACCAGGGCAAGCCTGGTTCAACTGTTTTGGACAACTGTGACAGGGTGAGAATCTGAGGGGAAATTTGGAGTTTCTTGTTAACACATTTTTAGTTCGACATGCATGATTCTCTAATCTTAAAAATACACATGGTTACTAAGTAGTATCGCTGTTCTACTTAGATGAATGTGAAACCCATGGTTTGCATTACATTTGAGTATGCATGGCTTGATGTGATCCATTATATTGTGATCATTATGCATTCCTCTAACGACTTCTCGTCTGCATTTAGTGTCTGGAGAGGCTGCAGAGAGAACAGGCGACACAGGCGATGGTTAGTGCACATTGTGTAAGAAATTATTTATTTATTTCCTTCAGTTAACCAGGAAAGTCCCATTGAGATTAAAAATGTCTTTTTCAATGGAGTCCTGGCCAAGAGGCAGCAAAAAATATACATTTACATAGAGTTACACAATTAAAACACAATACAAGCAATCACTATTAAAATGAATCACAATTTAAGGAAGTAATCTCTAATGGCCTCAATTTGGACTTAAAGGTGCTCAGTGGGATCAGTTCAGTTAACTTCCAGACGTTTTGCAACATGTTCCATGTAGATGGGGCAGAGAAAACAAAGGCCCTTTTCCCCAATTCTGTACAGAGAAATGGGACAGAGAGCAAGAAATAATCATTTGAACGCAAGGAGTGTGAATCATTGTTTGTTCGTGTGATTAGATCACAAATGTAAGATGGTTGCAGCCAAAGAAAAGCCTTATAAATAAAAGAGTACCAATGTCCCAGCCTCCTGGTGGACAACAAAGACCATCCTACATGAGTAGATCACAATGATGAGTCAAGGCTTTACAGTTAGTAACAAACCTTAAGGAAGCATGATAGACAGCATCAATTTTTTAAGATATTATGCTGAAGCATTCATATATAACAAGTCTCCATAATCTAAAATGGATAAAAATGCCGCTGTGACAAGCCGCTTTATTAACCGTAAAAGAAAAATGTATTTTACTTTGAAAAAAAGCCCAGTTTAGTTTAAGTTTCTTCAAAAGATTTTGGATGTGGGGCTAAAAACTGAGGGAGCCATCAATCAAGAACCCACAATATTTGTATGTGTGAACCATCGCTATAATATTTCCTTCAAAAGTGGACACTGTGTGGATCATCAGAGGCACCTTTTTGTTGTTTGCAAATAGCATTAGTTTAGTCTTATCAGCATTGAGTACCATCTTTAGCTGCAGGAGTGTGTGCTGGACAACATCAAAATCTCTCTGCAGAGATTCTACAGCTTTAACAACAGTCGATCCAAAACAGTAAATAATTGTATCATCGGCATAAAAATGCATTTTAACATCTGACACATTTTGTCCTAATTCGTTAATGTACGTAATGAACAGGAGGGGACCCAAGATTGAACCCTGTGGCACCCCCTTGTGTAATTCATAAAATAAGAACACAAACCATCATATTTGTTACACTGAGTCATGCTACTTAAATAATTTGACAACAGGGAAACCACATGATCTGACATTCCCAAAAAAAAAAGTATGTATTTAAGACAGCGTGGTCCACAGTGTCAAAGGTTTTTGACAGATCAATAAAAAGAGATGCACAGAACTGCTTTTGATCAAGAGCAACAATTATATCATTTATCACTTTTGTGGCTGCAGTGGTGGTGCCGTGCTTTCTTCTAAAGCCTGATTGCAGTTTTGAGAGAAGTTCATTCGAATATAAAAATTATTTTAGTTGATCGCAAACAAGATATTCAAGCATCTTTGACAAAACACACAAATTTGATATTGGCCTGTAGTTAGTTAAAACAGTTGGGTCACCTCCTTTTAATAAGTGAGTAACAAAAAGCTGACTTCCGGATTAAAGGAACCTCTTTATTTTGCAAAATGCAAGATTCATATTCAAAACATGAATGCAAGCCTCCCGATATCTTTTTTTTTTTTTTTTTTTTACTCACACAGGGTGATCGATCCTGCACAGGAGCACCTGGAGTTCCAGGAACGCCCGGATCACCAGGATTCAAAGGGGACCCTGTATGGTTCTAGGTTGTGCATAGCTCAGATATCCAACAAGGCTCGAAAAAGCAAGATTTACTTTTCTGTGTTTTTTCTTTATTTTAGGGTGCACCAGGAGAACGAGGCCAACCTGGATCACCTGGAATTATGGTGAGTTTTGATTTCAACTGAGGGATTAAAAACAACAACAAAAAAATTGTCGCGTAAATAGTTAAGATGTTTCAGATGCTTATTTAAAAACACAATAAATCTGAGCATTTTTCTTGTTACATTTTTTAAAGACACATTTCACAACACTTGAAAAATACTGTGCACAAGTCTTTGTTTACTGCACGTGTCTCCAGTGCTCACTTTAAAATTCCTGCTAGGTTTTACCAACTCACCACTTTAAGATATTCCTCTGCAGTGTGCTGTGCTATCAGTGCATCGGTTTGGGAGAACTACTGTGAGGGAAAAGAATAAACTGTAGAACAGCATCGCTGGGGTTTTTTTGTCTCGGAGTTTAGATTTGAAGGGACTTGATTCAACAGGAGTGTGTGCCTGCCATCTCCCATGGGTTCACAGAGCCCCCTTCTGGTCAAGTAGAAACTTTTGCAGGAAGCAAATCTCTTTACTTCTATCACACAGAATATAAAAGCTCTTTACTGTGATGGCCAGTGCAGTAGTCAGTGAAAGGGAAAAAAAAAGCGTTTTTGGRCACGTCTGTKTTTTTTTTTTTTTTTTTTTGTGTGTGTGTGTGTTTTTTAGTGTGTTGTGCTTGTCCTAGGTGTTTGACAATATTATGAACTTTCTGTTCACAGGGACCTCCTGGTTTCCCAGGTCCTGGGGGTTCATCTGGTTCACCGGTAAGTTTTGAGCACTTTTCTTGGTGAGTCAAGATGTTACAAATATTGTGAGTATAAGGCAAAAATTGCAATTTACAAAAAAGAAAAGAAAAGAAAAGAAATACGTTTTTTTTGCCTTCCCGTGCAAAAGTTCAATGTATTTTGTATTGATTGCATTGAATGAGACTTTCATTTTGAAATATCTAATTATCAAAACTGGATGTGTCACCACAATTTAGGGAGATAGACAGTGGTAGTGTGTGGCTGCACAGAGTTAAAATAGCTACATATCATATTTAACTTAATTTGTGGCTGTGATATGGATAACTTTTGCAAGGGAACACACAACATGTTGCATGGGAATGCAAAATAAGAACGTTCCCCCCGTATCCCCATCCTGGGCGCATTCCTTATTTTAACAGGTCTCAATGGTGATTATTGTGAGAAAATGTGCAATTAAAATTTATTTATTTATTTATTTATTTATTTATTTATTTATTTAAGTTGTAAAATATTTTTAGTGCTTTTAACATAAAACCTGTATTCACAGTGAAATGTAAAATTATTCAAATTCGTATTCTTCCGTTGTTGTTGTGTTAGTTTAGTTTTTCCAGCTAAAATGTTTACAAGACCACTGACTTTACAAGAACCAGGCAATTCCCACAAGGTTTCCATCTCCTTTTTTTATATTTTTGGAGCTGTTCTTGAGATGTGGAAACAATCTGCTTGTGTTTCTCTGTGTTGCTTCCCTCCCTCCCAGTTGAGGCAAATGGCTGTACACCCTGAGTGCAGTTCGGCTGGAGGGGTTTTCTTGTTAAAATTTACTTTTTCCTGTCTGCCTCCTCCTCTTGTTCTCTTCAGTTCACTTTTATGTTCTGCAGAGGACAGAGGGATAAGTTGTTGAATGCAGTGCTTTATTCATTTATGTTTTTAACTGAAAAATAAAACAAAATATACATTGTAATTACTAAAATGAATGAATGAAATTGGAGATGCCAGAAATAGAGTGAACTGGCTTCAAGTAGAATGTGTGTTCCTGGATCTGAAACTGAAATAGATTTTGTAGCATAAAGGGATGCTTCCACTGTGACCTCCACTCTCTTTTTTTCAGCAAGTATTCTGTGAAAGAGGTTTTTCTATTGGCTGAATCCATGGATGAGGTGTTTATTGGAATATACACTCACGGCCACTTTATTAGGTACACCACGCTAGTAATGGGTTGGACCCACTTTTGCCTTCAGAACTGCCTCAGTTCTTCGTGGCATAGATTCAACAAGGTGCTGGAAGCATTCCTCAGAGATTTTGGTCCATATTGACATGATGGCATCACACAGTTGCCGCAGATTTGTTGGCTGCACATCCATGATGCGAATCTCCCGTTCCACCACATCCCAAAGATGCTCTATTGGATTGAGATCTGGTGACTGTGGAGGCCATTTGAGTACAGTGAACTCATTGTCATGTTCAAGAAACCAGTCTGAGATGATTCCAGCTTTATGACATGGCGCATTATCCTGCTGAAAGTAGCCATCAGATGTTGGGTACATTGTGGTCATAAAGGGATGGACATGGTCAGCAACAATACTCAGGTAGGCTGTGGCGTTGCAACGATGCTCAATTGGTACCAAGGGGCCCAAAGAGTGCCAAGAAAAGATTCCCCACACCATGACACCACCACCACCAGCCTGAACCGTTGATACAAGGCAGGATGGATCCATGCTTTCATGTTGTTGACATGTTGAAAAGTTACATTTATTTTTTGTGACAATTTGGAGATAGACTTATTTTTTAATGATTTGATGCTTCATTGTTTGTTTAATTTTTATTTATTTATTTTTTGTTTTCTTACTTTTCTTTTTTTTTTTTTTTGAAAAAGCTGGACATTAGATTCATTTGTAGAGACTTTTTTCATAAAAAATGAACATTTTTTTGTAGAGACAAAAAATAATTCCCATACAAGCAAATTATTTTCTGTCTGTGCTTTTTATGTTTATTTGCCCTAACTTGTTATCTTACTTTTATTTTACACCAGAGAAAATGACATTGCAGACGCATGCATCCTATTCTCTATCTCATTTTCCAATCCGTCTCCTCTGCCATCGTTCTCAGGGTCAGCAGGGTGAGCGTGGGTTGCCTGGCCTCCCAGGATTAAAGGGTGAACAGGTGCGTGTTTGACAACTCGTTTCACAGAAATTATAACATATAGGAAAATAATTGGTTTCCCTGTTTGATGAATCGTGTGATCTCCCCCCTCAGGGCCCTCCGGGGACACCTGGTTATCCAGGAAGCATGGGACCGCCTGGACTGCATGTGAGTTTTCTCCTCATTAAAAAAGAGCTAAAGAACTGAAGACATCCTGACAACTTTCACTGACATGAAAGCCGACAGCCATTTACTGCGCTTTTGTATTTGTCAGGGGCTGAAGGGTGAACGCGGAACCCCTGGAAGCTCTGGTCAGAAAGGGGAATTGGTAAGCCGCCCATGCTAAATCAACCTGCAGCTTGTGCTGTACAGTGCAGACTAACATGTTCTTTTTTTATATAGGGTCCTCCTGGTACCCCTGGATATCAAGGACAGGCTGGCCCACCGGTTAGCGTCTTGCTCATAAATTTGTCCTGGCAGTAGTTAGAGTCAGACCATTTGCAATTTCAAACTGCAATAACTTTACCTTCCATGTCTGCAGGGCATTAAAGGAGACACGGGACCTGCAGGATCGGCTGGTGAGAAAGGCGAACAGGTTTGTGTAACACATATAAATTAGTGCAGTAAAATTCTTAGCTGTCAGCTTTAATTAAATGTTTTTTTTTCTTTTATCCAAGGGTTTCCAAGGACAACCAGGATTTCCAGGACCACCAGTATGTAAAATCTTCAACTTGTCTTTGTTTGGTTGTTTGTTTTTAACCTATGTAATACATATTCAAACGTGTAATTTTAGGGCCCCCCTGGTCCAGCTGGAAAATCAGGAAGAGAAGGTTCTCCTGGATTGAAGGGTGAAAAGGTCAGTACAGATTACACGTTTAACTGCTCCCAATGCGTTTGCCCTTACAATCATTACACGTTGGACTAAAAGTCATTGTTAAATTTCCAAAGGGTAATGATGGTCCATCAGGCTCCCAGGGACCAACCGGGCCCCCAGGCTCACCTGGTTCTCCAGGATTGATGGTACAGACACCATCTTTTTTCTTTTTGCAACACATATAATCACAGTTTTATATATTCTGAACTAGCTTTGAGGTATCTGTATTTTTTAAAAGGGCCCCCCTGGCATTGAGGGAATAGATGGGAAAGATGGAAAACCAGGCCTGCGAGTAAGTCATACCTCCTGAATCATACGACTAAACACACATAGAAAATCCCCACAAAAAGATGTGTGTCAAGTTTAGTTTTTGATTTTGATTTTTTTTTTTTTTGTACCAGGGAGAGCCAGGTCTTCAAGGCCTGCAAGGACCTCGAGGAATACCTGTAAGTATTATTTTAATTACTGGATTTCTTTTCTTACTGTTTTTATTCATCCACTAAAGTAAAGATAAAGAAACTTTAAAAGACACCAAACTTTCATCATAAATTTTAACATGATGTGGTTCAGCTATACACATAGTGCAGTTTGTCTTCAGTTTGAGTGTATAGAGTCGATCTGCACAATAAATATGAGCATTGACATTGCAATGTACGTGTACGCAATAGTCACACTGCAGGTCCTGTATTGTAGGAGGCAAGTAAAATCAATGTTATCTAGGGACTAAACCAATAAACCATAACCAGGGTAAGCCTGCTGACCCACCGGTCCCTGCCAACTTTTACTGAACTTGTGCACAAGATAGGTTAATGTGAACATATGTTTATATATTTTAATAATATTTTATAATAAATTAATGATATAAATCTAAAAGCTGCCATAAATATATTATCAAACTGTTGGTAGGCAGTGACACAACTGTTCATCTTCAAACTCCCGCTCCAGTCATTAAAGACATTGTCAAACTGCTCTGCTCATGTTTTTTCATATCGCAATATACGTACATTGTAGGGTTAGAAAAAAAATTGCAGTGTCAGTTTTTTTCTAATATTGCTCAACCCTAGTATATGGTAAATAATACATGCACTCAGACTTTTATTTTTCTTAAGAATAAGATAGCCTGCTCTCTCCCATTATATGTCCTCAGATGCTTTTATTATATTTAGTCATCTAGAACTATTTATAAT